TTGTAACTTATTTAAGACGAGAAATGTGTCCAGTTTTTTAAAGGTTTCTTGATCTGCTTTATAAAGCATACATTATAACGTCAGAATCAGCATCTTGTAACTTATATCAAACTAGAAAATGACCATTTAAAGGTGTTATAACCTGTTTTACAAAATGTAAGCTTTATCACAAATTAGTGGTTCTTTTTGAAGTTCACATTACACACAAAGAACTTTAATTAACATTTTGACATATGAAGCCTATATTCTGCTCTAGATCTTTGCTTGTAACGTGAAATATTTCAAAATATTTGTTGATATTTAATTATTAATGTGTTTGCTGTATTTTATATAATCATAGGTTCACAGAACGATCAAGAACAAAACTGTTAACCTAGCTCAAAATTAGGGAAGAATGTATAATACTTAAAATTTGGGGATTTCTTACATAGCTCAAAATTAGGGAAGAATGTATAATACTTAAAACCTGGGGATTTCTTACATAGCTCAAAATTAGGGAAGAATGTATAATACTTAAAACCTGGGGATTTCTGACTTAGCCATTTACACCACGTATGCATAAGGTGCCGTTCAGGTGAAAGACAAATAACATCACTTAAGCAAGTTGGCTCTAATGATAGAGTTTTACTGCAACACCTAGAAGAACTGATATTATGGTGGGACTGAATCGATAAAGCAAGTTGGTTCTAATGATAGAGTTTTACTGCAACACCTAGAAGAACTGATATTATGGTGGGACTGAATCGATAAAGCAAGTTGGTTCTAATGATAGAGTTTTACTGCAACACCTAGAAGAACTGATATTATGGTGGACTGAATCGATAAAGCAAGTTGGTTCTAATGATAGAGTTTTACTGCAACACCTAGAAGAACTGATATTATGGTGGGACTGAATCGATAAAGCAAGTTGGTTCTAATGATAGAGTTTTACTGCAACACCTAGAAGAACTGATATTATGGGGGGACTGACTCGAGAGAAAATTCTAAAATGTTTGTTCTCTTCTTCGTAGTCAACTTTGTGAGTCATACATTTTTAAGAAATCCCCAGGTTTTAAGTATTATACATTCTTCCCTAATTTTGAACTATGTAAGAAATCCCCAGGTTTTAAGTATTATACATTCTTCCCTAATTTTGAGCTACGTAAGAAATCCCCAGGTTTTATGTTTATTCGTCCCTAATTTTGAGCTAGGTAAGAAATCCCCAAGTTAAAAGTTTATTCGTCCCTAATTTTGAAATACTGACTAGAAAGAAAGCAGATAGTCAGCAGCTCCCGCCACCGCAAGAACTTTGAACCTAATAACGGGATTTACTGTCACTCGTATAACACACCCACAGCTAAAACTGTAGGGTGATCAGCAGTGTCGAATCACGAAACTTGGACTTTTCTATCCACACTCCAGCGCCTTGCCTTTTGCTTATAAAGGAAAAAATCTAAATATTACAGAACACAAATATTACCCGAGTATTTTTCGATTTTGTAAATTAATAATTTTTTTTAATGTCTGGCTAAGTTTAATTACTTAAAACTAAATGGCATTTTCCAATTTTTTAAATATTTCTTTAGTTTCTGTAGAAATTAATTCAATTAAATTCTGTCATTGTAAAGTTTTTGTTGATGACTGAATAACCAACAGATGAGACGTTTGATCTGAGTTCTAATGCTTCGTATAGGGTCTTTATTGAGATTTCTGTCAAATTATTGTTTAGTTTCATCAAACTGCTTTTAAGTCACAATTTGTAATGAAGTGTTAAATTGAAAAAAAAAGAATATCTCAAAAGTAAAATATTTTAACTAATTTAATGATAATAATTACTCCCCGCCAGATGTCGGTGGTATTGTATTTTTACTCCAAAATGTGTTTGAGTGTATAATTCAAAACATTTTCATCTGATTTTAACTAAATTTGGAAAAGGGTGAGTGTCTTCCCTCAAGGACCAATTGTTTAACTTTTCGAGACTGTAGGTCAAAGGTCCCACTGAAAGTCAATCACATAACTCAAAAGCTTTTCAAAAATTTAGTACAAACGTTGAGTATTCAAAAAGACAATTCAATTAACTTTTGGTGAATGTTGATCAAAGCTCAAGATGACAATGAAGGCCGAGCACTTTCATTGTAATGGTAACAACAATGGATTTTGAAAAAAGTGAAAATTCGATAACACATTGAGAAAAAAAAATGGTTCTTAGAAACCACACGTACGTTTTTGAGGGTGAGGAATTGATTGGGTATAGTTTAGGATGGTTAACTGAGTGCTTTTCTACTTTAGAATTAAATTATTATGTTATCGCCTAGAAAGATCCCTCCAATGGGCCAATGGTATTTCTACGGAACTAAACCGATACAAATTCAGGGTTTTATTCCCTCAGTGGGCAGAGTGCAAATAGTCCATTGTGTAGCTCCGTACTAAGAAAACAGCAGCAAACCCAGAAAAGCCATCCGTCAGTTAGTCTAAATAACGTAAAAATAATTATGCACACAGGCTGAGTACTTTATATTAAAGCGGTTTTAAAGCCTCACCTCTCGTTACATCCCATTTCATTCAGTAATATTTTATCTGACGACTATGAATCTTGATTATAGACCTGCAGCGTAGTTTCCATTACAAAAGACTCCGTCGTAAGAATGTCATGTTCAGAACACACACACCTCTGCCCTGCGACTTACCACAATACACCTAATTTACTAGGACGAGGGTTTCCTACCTCTAGTTTCAACACTGTTTCAGGTGTCAGATGGTTGAAGGGATATGTCGTGGAAGCAGCCTGTGTATATGTGACTTGTGTGGCTTTTCCAAACCTCCGACTTGATTCTTCTTGATTATATTGCGTACTGTTGCCTAGACCACGTGAACAAATCTTGTTTCTGAAATTTGTGTTCATGGATTTTCATCTGTGACAAGACGCCGTACTTTACTTACCATGGCTGGGGTACGACTTCTTGCACATTTCTCTCTGGAAGGTCCTGGTGCCCCAAGTTGATCCATATTCCTTTGTTTTCCAATGCCATTAAACATAAGGGATATCCCGTCTTGGAAATTCCAAATCCCCGATCTGAAAACATCTTTATATTATGTGTTTGTGTGGGTTTTGTTCATAGCAAAGCCACATCAGACTATCTGCTGTGTTCTCTGAATGGAATCGAACCCCTGATTTCAGCGTTGTAAATCCGTAGACTTACCGCTGTCTCACCGGGGGACGATTTATGTGATAAATAATCACATCCCACTTTTTTTTCTTTAGTGGATGATTAAAATAACTTTATCAATGGTCTTAACTTAAACTTCTTGATAAGTCATTTTAAGTCTTAGAGGAATCGAAATTAAACATGTCAGTTGCTGTAACGTAATTTTATTTTCTATAACATTTTATACATTTTTTTCACAGAGTTTACAGAAACTTATGGTCAGCATTTTTTATACATATGAATCTTTCAGCAGCTAATTTGTTAATTACAAGATATTTACAACTTTAATACTTATCTTGCATATCAAAATAAACGCAGTTAATCAAAATATAAACGCGTCCTCGTTGCATCTAACGATTAACCAAAAGTACCTTACCTTAGGTAAAGTTAGTTTTAAAGTTATTGTTTTGGGTTAGATAAAACAATATTTTTTAGCTCTAACAATCACTCTTATTTGGTAATTATTTTTCATAATAAACATTCATTTATACGATCCAAATATATTTAAAGGAAAATTAAATATTTATTTATATATATATATATATATATATTAACTTCAATTAATTTCATCCTGAGTATAACATGTATGTATATATATGTAGAGACAGACGACACATAAACACTACAACATCACATAGAAACTGATGACAAAATGAACCTGATAATAAAAAATAAAATGTAACGTTTCAACATAATAAAACTTCCAAGCATATATATATATATTTCCTTTGTTTAATTTCTCAGACGAACCGAAATTACGAAATTGTCTCGTCTGTTAACGCAACACAAACTACGGTGTACCCGTTCATTAAACATATAAAAGTGGTTTCTGTAGTATACAGCGTAACGTATTATCTGCTTGAAACTTTCTCATAAGCTTTATGGTTTCAAAAACTTAAGAACGTAAACTACGAGTAAATCAATTATAGTGAATGATGAGAAGCTCGAGCAAAACGGTTTACAACTGATATAATTAGTTTGGAAAATACATCGTTTTCCAAACTGTATTTAAACCTTGTGTATTTAATGTGCAGAACTTTGTCAGAATTAATGTACATTATCGTTATTTTTTTAATAATTAATATGTATGTACATAAAATATGATAAGTACTTAATAATAAATTTGTTTTCTTGTCGTTCGTACTTCACTAGTGTAGAAAATGTCTATAATTTTCAATCTATCTGCTGATATTTTCAATACATAAACTCCAAATGTTAATCCTATAAGTAAGTCATTATGTTACAAAAATAACATGCAAGAACGATATGACTCTCATGTTACTTATCGACTGTTAGACATAGCTCAAGCCAGCCAATAACAAAGCTATCTACTATTCAATATTTATGGCTAGAATTGAGCTTGAAGGATGGTATGCACATGTTCAAAGGTTATAAAAAAAAGGGTTGTCTAATATCATTTCTCAAACGATATAACTGAATCTAATGGGATATATTAGTTACCCAGAAAGTATTCTGTCAACACAAAGATAACCTTCAGTCTAACTACTAACAGGAACACGAACGTAATTATTTGAAGCACTAAATAAACGTTTCGAAATTCTATCTTCAGTAAGTTAAAAATTCAAAAAGATAATTACACCAAGAAGAAAAAAATAAAATGCGAAAAAAATGAAGTATGTAATACAAATTAAATCATATATATGTTAAAATAATTGAATCGCGTATGTTAAAATAATTAAATCTGTTTTTATATATGTGATTTAATTTTTTTTTTACACACTGTTCATTTTTCTCCTGCTTTCTTTGTATTGTATCTCACAGAATTTAATGTCATTTGTTGTAGAGTAGCTCACATTTTTGGTGTATTTTTAGTATCTTTAACTTACTGAAGGTGGAGTCCCCACGATTCTTAAGCGTTTGTTAAATAGTTCAAATAATTAAGTTCGTATTGTTATTAATAATTAAATTACGCTTTCCAAAAAATGAATCGATTACTAGTAAACTTTGGTCTAATTGTTAATATAGAGCCTAGATTCCATACAGATCTAATTATTCGTATAAGTTCTCAGTTAATAAATAGTTTTTTGTATCGAGTAATGTAATAACTGACATGCATTAGAGAACTAGTAATAATATTAAATCTACAGTATTTATTGTCAAAATTAAATAGTTGATTTATAGCTGTATGTACACTACACGGACTATCTATTTTTTTTTACTTCAAAATGATATCTAAACGACTGCTTTAAAATACACAGTCCTCATTGATTCTATCTTTGCGTGCACGAACGACAACACTGATTTCGATAGTGAGCCAATTTACACATGTTAAGCCTTTTGGCCAGCCCGCAGTACTTGGACTTGTCCGGACAGTTGTCTCCTGTCAAGTAAAACAAATACATTTATTTTAAAGTTTTATCTTCTTGATGGGCATCATTTATACGAATCTAATTTCCCCCATTTTCGTCTTTTCGGGTTTTCTCTCTCATAATATTTTTATAAATTCTTGAGTAAATGAAAATGTAACTAAGAGTTTAAGTAAATTGAATCCACAAATGTCATTATTCTTATACTAACATGAATCACAAATATGTTGGTAGCTATTAAAATAAAGTGGAAAATTGGAAAGTTATCGTCATCGGTAATTGTTCATTTACTAAAGTTTGGGTGTGCAGACTACGATCAGAAGATTCAAGGTTTGAGCTTCGATATGCCACTAAACATGCTCTGCACTTTCAGCTGTGGAAGAATTATAGCTATAACAGTCAATCTCGTTATCATGTTAATAGGCGGCGAGTGCTGCTGAATTGTTGCCCTCCCTCTGGTCAGCGGTTTAAAATTAGGGATGGCTAAGCCTAGGCCATAATTATCTCTGACCCGACCGTTTAGCCCGCGTCCCAAAAGGTGTCGTTCTAGTTGCAAGTATCAAAGTTCCAGGAATGTTCGTTTTCTAAATTTTGACACTTTCATGATAGGTTGCTTTATTTTCCCCCACGTTGAATACATTTACTCGTTGGCTTTTTTTAATTCTTTGAGCATTGTGAGGAATGCGATAATGTGCAATAATGGAGATCGTAAAGTAATCTAATTTGCTAAGACGTAAAATAGAAGCTTTTACGCGTTCTTGTATTTACTTTTCTTTGATTAGAATGTTAAATGTCATATGAACTGTGCTGTAGGCAGTTCGAACCGAAACTAGGTAGAATGTTTGTACTTACTGACTGTTTTGTGAACTTACAATTATTATTCTCTTTCTCTACGTTTTAAATTCCATTACAATTTAAAACTTTGTACAGGTGTTTCTTATTACCTCAGAGCGTGCCTTGTACAGGTGTTTCTTACCACCTCATAGCGTGCCTTGTACAGGTGTTTCTTACCACC